GGTATTAAAAATATAGTAAATGCTATCAACATAATATTTACAGTGGCATTCTTGTTCTATTTTTTTTCTGTGTTTTTTTTAATAGCATTAGGTGACAAACGAGCACACAGTCCACCTGATGGTAAGTGGTTGCTGTGACCGATAGACATCTACATCTATCCTCTTTTGCGAATCAAAATGCCTCGTTTCCAGTAAAAAGGATCTCCGGTTCTCTACACTCACCAGACGAAACACAGCAGTGTTAAGCTGCTATTTTACGCTGGTATTCTGTGAGAGCGTGGTCCTTCCCCGGTCGAACCGACCCATTCGTGCTACAACTATACTACTACTAACATACTAATATAGCTGCAGCATGGCTCTACCACGTAATGAATGGTAGCCGATGGTTGTCCAACAGCGGATAAGAATATTTGATATATAATTCCTTATTTTAAATGTACTTTTTCAAAACCCTTTACACTACTAAGTCCTGAAATAAAATATTTAAGATTAAAAGCAAATTACAATAAAAAAATATAAAATTATTATTATTTAATGAAATTTTTTTGGTTATTATATTATTATATATATTTTTTGTATATATGAACGTAGTGAGATATTAGGAACTACCTTTTACGATACTGACTGTGGGATAGTGGATTTTATAATGCTGATACATCGAAGTGGCCTTCCAGGACACAGTAATTCAATGCACATTAATTATTCTTAATATTCTTCATATTCTTGTAAAAGTTAATTAGCCGCGTACTGATCAAGCGAGCGGCTTCGCGAGGCAGCCTCGGACATTTGACGTAGTACGAATGCCGCGCGAGGCGGCCTCGGTCTGTAAGTTTTCTAATCCGAGGCTGCCTCGCGCGGCAAGGCCGAGCCACCGTGAGCATCGACGCTCAGTTTAACTTGAAGTGGAATAGAGACCGCACGTGCGTATAGTTTGCCCGAGACCACCATGAGGCCGCACATTGGGAAAGCTGTCGCTACCACCGCCTTTTTAATAATTCTAAGGCTTGCAAAAAAAAAGAAAACAGAAAACTAAACGTTTTTGGGTTAAACTCTTATACAAAAATAGATTACGAAGAAAAAAAATTCTCTCATAAACGCCAAAATAAACAAGGACACAAATTTTCGAGAAGTAATATCCGCTAGGGAAAGATTATTAGTGACGTTGAGATTTTTGACCACAGGACATTCTTATACCAGTTTACAGTACCTATTTCGTATATAGAAACAAAGGATATCGGTTATAATTCCTGAAGTCTGTGATGCTATAATTGAGGTGTTAAAGGATTATGTTAAGGTAAAATAAAATTACATATTTTTATTATTTTTTTATTAATAAAATTAGAAAATTGGACAAATAATATAAGAAAATTAAAAAAACAAATATTTAATGATGAGGAGCTGGAGAAGGAGGAGGGGGAGGCATTGGTGTGGCAGCAGGCATCGGTGAGATAGGAGGCATCAGTGAGGTAGGAGGCATGGGCGAGGCAAGAGGCATCGCTGAAGTAGGAGGCATCAATGAGGCAGGAGGCATCGATGAGGCAGGAGCCATCGATGAGGTGGCATCAGTGAGGTAGGAGGCATGGGTAAGGCAAGAGGCATCGATGAGGTAGGAGGCATCGATGAGGCAGGAGGCATCGATGAGGCAGGAGGCATCGGTGAGGTAGGAGGCATTAGTGATGTAGGAGGCATGGGCGAAGCAAGAGGCATCGGTGAAGTAGAAGGCATAGGTGAGGCAGCAGGCATCGAATATGTAGATGGCGTCGATGAGGAAGAGGGATGAGACATATATCTTAAATTGTCGTGTTCACCATATGATTGAGTATAATAACCATAACCACTGTATGCTCCCATGTCTGCATCAAAGATAATTTTATTTATTGCATTTTTTAAGTATGCTAATGTAATTTTATCATATTTTCTCAACTCATTTCCTATATATTGACAATACACATTATAGGGATCATTTTTTCCCGATATATTATCGCTTGCACATTGTTGTAAAAGTGTTAATGCTTCAGATATGGCGTTATCATAAGATCATCACTTGTTTTTGTTAGCAAGTTTATGCAACGACGAGGAGTTTGTTGAGTCTAGAAAAATAGTTGTCTGCGCGGACGCCGTGATTGCATTTTGAAGCACATTTGCAATATTTAATTTGCTTGAGTGGCCTGTTAATATCGTACGAGAGAATCTTAGTTTGTTGTGCGGAACGTGGAACTTTGTGACCCGAGAGAAGGTCGCGTTCGGTTTCTCGAAATAATTTGTTGAAACAGAAGTTGAACTTTGATCAACCGTTCATTATTTGTGCCGTGTGTCACGTGTTTGATTACGATTAACGGGGATTTAGTTGAGTTTGAAGTTAATTAAATGTACAATAAAGTTGATAAACTGAAATAGTGAAATGAAGTCAGCAGTTTTCAATTGGTGACGTCCGCTGGAGTGATACCACATCGTGGGGCAGCATCGGACCAACGCCAAACGCCAAACGCTATTGGATGCAGTTTCAAATGCCCATGTTTGGGCCTAAACAAGGATACTGCGGCCCATAGACATCTATATTTATCCGCGATTAAGAATCAAAATACAGATGCATTGTCACCCCTGAGGACTAAGATGGAATGCCTCGTTTCCAGTAAAAAGGGTCTCCGGTTCTCTACACTTACCATACGCAACACAGCAGCATGAAGCTGCTATTTTACGATGGTATTTTGAGAGAGCGTGGTCCTACCCTTACTTATCCTACCTTAACCCTAACTGTAGCGTGGCTCTACCACGTTTAATTTGCAAGTTAAAGTAAAAACAGTGTCATAGGTGTGACACTTCTGTTGCGTTCTTGTTGTTATCTTTAATTCTTATTATATATTCCCACTTACACTTACACAGTTGATACATTTATCAAGTGAAGTGAGTACATAGAACTTTTGCCTGCTTGAAATAAGTTGATACATATGTCAAGCAGGCAAATGTTCTATGTTGTTGTTGATGATGATAATTATGTTTAAGCCTTACCCTATTTTATTGATTAAATTATGAATTATTTCAAATCTATTTTCCATTCAGATGGTTTTGGAACGAAGTTCTTTATTGCACGGTACGAATTTGACGGATGGAGGCTAGGCGAGAAAAAGTGTAACATTTTTCCGTCACGACCCTCTTTCTATAGTGCCAGCGAAATGGAATAATATCCACTCCCCTTACTCTCTTTTTATCTTACCATGAAAGAAATATTAATTTAAATAATTCATTTATTTGTATTTGTTAATCAATAATATAATACGTTTATCAATAAGTGTCCCACGACACTCACGCTTGTTTTTAGTTAGTAGCTATTGTAGGCCTTCTTTTGTATCGTGGGGAAATCCTCATAGATACCTTCTGTTGCGGGGGCACCGGAAAGGTTATGCCGGACTCCTACCGGCCAAAACCCACGGTAGTCTCCATTAGCGTATATGAGGGGTCCCGGGATCTCCGTTCGGAACGCAACCGGGGCCCCACTCAGGCTTTGCTCTATTAAAATACGTCCCGGGGGCAGTCCTTAATACCCCCAGCACCCTCGCAATGCTATCACGGTGCTCGAGACCACATTCGAGTCACCGTCCTCCTCAGGTGTTACGTCACTAGTCGCTCGGGGCCTCCGCCCCGAGCGCCCGTAGCCCCCGAAGCCCCGTTTCTGGTAGAGAAACACCATTATCAAGGAGAAGCCCTGACGAACGCCTTGGCGGTGTCGTCTTCGAGCGGGATCTGTCCTCTCCCGACACCGCTCAGCAGCCTACTTCTGGATCATAACGGATTCACAGAAGGTGGCTACGGCCCTCCACGCGGAGTCCCTGCTCAGCATCGCCGACACGACTGCCGGCAGGGAGAGGTTCTGACCAATCCGGCTTACCAGGACCGTTCGCTCCCGTTCCCAGGCTGGGCATGTTGCCAGCGTATGGGATGCGGAGTCCTGTTTCTGCCCACCGCAGTGGAAACAGTTCGCCGTTGCTTTCCGTCCAATCTTACACAAATAATCACCGAAGCTTCCGTGCCCGGTCATTATCTGTGTAAGTCTGTAGGTGAGTCTTCCTGTTCTTCGATGCATTCAGGCTTCAAAGTGTGGCAGAATTGCTCCAACAACGCGTTTGCACGCATAACGCTCTTCAGAGAGGTGAGCGCGCCACGTTACGAATGCGTTAATTCGTTCCTGCCGCTTGACCCCTTCGAACAGGACACGCGTCCGGTCGTATACCCTCGCATCCATGTCCGCCAGTATGTCCAGAGGTGGAAAGCGAGCCAGAAGTGTCGCCGCCTCAAAGTATATTATGCGGTATCCTCGCACGATCCGTATGGCCATCCTCCGCTGCACCCTGTAGATTTTAGCTCTACAGCGTTGAATGGCCAGCCTTTTCGCCCAAACAGACGCCCAGTACAAGGCTATGGACCGTATCACTCCTGCATAGAGGCGACGCACTTCATCCCTTGGTCCCCTTAGATTGGGCAGCAGTCTATGCATAGCACCCGCTACCCTTTCAATTCGGGGGACAAGGCGCTCGAAGTGTTCTTCGAAGCCCCATCGACTGTCTGGTGGAGGCCTAGGTACTTCATGTAACGCCCCACTTGGACTTCAGACCCACCTACGCGGACGCACGAGTCGGGTGGTTCCCAGCCGCGGCGTAATTTATGGAACCATAGCACCTCGGTCTTGTGAGGCGCTATTTTTAATCCCAACTCGTGGATTTTGGCGACGACGACTACCGTCCCAAGCTCGGCGAGCTCTTTGGCCCTCTCGAAGGTGACCCCGCTGGCAACCACCAACGTGTCGTCGGCATAGCAAACGATATCTACGCCAGCGGGAAGTTCAACTCGCAGAACCGCATCATAGGCGAGGTTCCACAGTAGCGCCGCCAGCAGCGAACCCTGTGGAACCCCACGTCTGATCTCCCTCCGGATGTACAGGATGTACCTGTCGCGCAAGTAGTCCCCAATAACACCTTGCAGGTAGGGGGGCACCTGATGGTGTGTCAGTGCGCTCCTGATTGCGCCCCAGCGAGAGAATTAAAGGCGTTGACGATATCGAGACTTATCGCCAACGCCACACCACCCTGGAATACTGCTTGTTCCGAAAGGAAGCGGACGCGCATGATGGCATCTACTGTAGAACGCTCCCGTCGGAATCCAAACTGACTATCAGCCAAATCGGGGCCAACGCGCAACAGATGCCCGTTGAGCTGAGTGGCAACTATTCTTTCTTGATCTCGTCCAAGAGGCATATGGGACCAACCTTGCCTCTTTCCATGCGGTGGGGAACTTGGCACTTCTCAGACAGTAGGTAAAAAGCCTATGCCTGTCCCCCAGAGTAGCCAGACTCAGCACTAGGATTCGACCCGGGATACCGTCGGATCCCGGTGCAGTGTTCCGGGCTCTTAAGCGGCTAACGGCTCGGTCCAGCTCTTCCACGGTTACCGCCATCTCATCTTGCCACTCCCATGATAATGGCGGGTAGCTTGAGGGACTTGACCGGTCATAATATCTGATACGGTACCGAGTTCCCAAACTTCTTACTCAAACCTAAACCGCAAAATATATTTTTTACTCTTCGTTAATATCTATAAACACTATATTGCAATTTATTTTAATTATTATTATTATCCCCGAAACTCTTCACCGCTGCATTGTAAGACGTTTTCAAGCTTCTGGACTGGAAAGGATACGGTATTAATATCAATGGCGAGTACATCACTCACCTTCGATTTGCCGACGATATAGTCCTTATGGCGAAATTGCTGGAGGACCTAAGCACTATGCTCAATGACCCCAATAGTGTTTCCCAACGGCTAGGTCTTAAGATGAAACAAAGATCATGTTTAATGTCCATGTCACACCTATGCCGGTAGTAGTTGGGAGCACTAAGCTCGAAGTTGTTGACGAGTATGTTTACCTGGGACAAATAGTCGAACTAGGTAAGTTCAACTTCGACCGAGAGGTCAATCGACGGATTCAACGGTTGGGCAGCGTTCGGGAAATTACGGCACATCTTCTCGTCAGGTATACCTCAAAACTTGAAACGAGACTGTACAACCAGTGCGTGTTGCCAGTGATGACCTATGGAACTGAGACATGGTCCTTCACTGCTGCCTGGATGAGGAAGCTCAAGGTCGCTCAGCGAGCTATGGAGACAGCTATACTCGGGGTTTCTCTGCGTGATAAACTTAGAAATGAGGACAACCGCAGTAGAACCAGAGTGACTGACATAGCCCAACGTATTAGTAAGTTGAAGTGGCAATGGGCCGGCCATATAGCTCGAAGAACCGAGAACCGATGGGGAAAAAAGGTTCTCGAGTGGCAGCCTCGTACCGGCAGGCGAAGTGTAGGGCGTCCCCTCACTAGATGGAGTGAAGACCTGGTAAGATATGCAGGAAGTCGATGGATGCAGGTGGCTCAGGACCGTGCTTTGTGGCATTCGTTGGGGGAGGTCTATGTTCAGCAGTAGACTTGTGAAGGGCTGTAATGATGATGATACTATAAGTAATAATAAAATAAAAGTGATATGATTTAAAATAAGTCTGTTACAAAGAACATCTTGCAATAATACATTATTTCAATTATAGTACTATGTAACAATTCCATTTAATGTTATGGCAAAACTAGCTAAAACAAAATGTCACTGTATGGCACAAAGGGCCAAAAACCATGTCATAACATTATACTATGCAACATAATATACATAACAACACAACATAACAATAAACATTTATACTATGCAAATATTTAATAGAGATAAAAATAATCCAAAAACTCTCAATTTTGTAGGTAGGTACATAATGTTCAGAATGTATTAAGCTAACAGCAAACAACCACAGAACGCATAACTTTTTCCAAGTTACATAAGACATAACCTAAAAAGGTACAAATCTCAATATCTTTTTCGACGCCTTCTCAGAACAAAATTCTTTGCCATAGTTACTCAGCGACTGACGCTTAACATTTAAGATATTTTTTTTATAGACGCTACCATTTCTTCTCAACTAATTTTATGTATGAAAGTCTTTATTTTATTATTTTTATTATTGAAATTTATAATATCATTACTTAGTACAATGTTATAGGTACCTTTTATAGAAGAGGGGACAAACTAGCATGCGGCTAACCTGATGGTAAGTGACTACCGCCGCTCATGAATAACCACAACACCAGGGGAATTGCAGATGCGTTGCCGGCCTTTTAGAAAGGTGTAAGCACTTATCTTCAAGTTACCTAAGTAGTATCGGTCCTGAAAAATCGCCGTTGGTAAGAAATTCCATTGAGAATTTGTACCATGAAGAAAACTCCTAGTATAACGCACAGTCGTGGACCGCCAAGCACCCAGATGATGAGGATGGTATCGTGAAATTAGGCGGCTGTGATTAATCCAAAAAAATTCTCAGAGCACTTCCCATGGTAGATTCGATAGAAAATGCAAAGCGATCCCTACGCAGCGCCAGTGTATTGAGCCGATCAGAAAGAACCTACAACTTAAAATTCATGTATTTTATAAAGGACAATAATTTTACCTACTTATGCCCACTTTTAAATTATGGACTCCGACTCCCAATATCATGAATTAAAATAAATTGCATGATATATTTATTGAAATTAAAGAGAAAATCTATGTCAGTAAAAATATTAAATTAAAAGAGATAGTGGAATGCATCATATGCAGTGGCTTATTATACGTCGTTTGCAAAATAGTTCGAGAAATTAACTGATGGTAGTAGTCTTATTTAACATAATATAAAAATATAAGACTCCATTTCATATGTAATGAAAGAAAACACTCTTACAAAATTTAAAAGAAAAAAGCTAGCGGAAATGGTTAATGTGAATATATGATTGTATGAAGCGGTTTCGCCAAGTGCAATTGAGTTCGTGGAAACTACTTTCTCAACGCAAAAAGATTATGCCCGCATATTCAACGCTCAAAGCAAAACTTTTGAACACTATTAAAAACTTGAAATCACCTACAGTGGCATTAGTTTCTACATCTGACTTAAAAAGTGTGGATGCACATTTAATATCACATACGGATATCAAATTTATCATATATATAACTATTCTCCAGACAAATAATGCAGCAATAAAATTGCGATGATCTAAAATATCGTCTCATGGTACTACTAGCTGGTAATATACCCCAAAAAGGTGCTGGCGTACGGCTTTTAAGTAGTACGATCGCTCAACCGTCTGCTAAGTATTGGAATTATGGCAAATTCTCCAATAGAAACAGAAACAGAAACAGAAACTTTTTTATTCAATATAGATTATTAATAATACTTATTGAAAGTAACTTTTTTGTATAATTACCACTGATTCGAAAAAAACCTGTCCCGAGAACCAGCAAGAAACCCAGCGGGACTTTTTTTTAAATAACAGCTTACAATCATGTATGTTACACAAATTAACAATACAACAAGTTAGAAATAGCTTTGTAGCGATCACCTCATTTCCAGGGATTATTATCATCTATAAATTCTTTAATATTATAATAACCCTTTTTATACAAACTTAGTTTAAAAAGTTTTTGAACTTTGAGCAGGTCAAATTCTGTATATTTTCTGGAATTTTGTTGTAAAAGCGTATACATCGACCCAAGAATGAATTACCGACTTGATGGAGTCGAGTAACTGGTACTACTAGCTTGTGTCTGTTTCTAGTATTTACAGAATGAATATCACTTATTTTTGTGAAACTACTTTTATTTTTGTGTACGTACATTACATTTTCATAAATGTATTGAGAGGCCAAAGTTAATATATTAATTTCCTTAAATTTTTGTCGCAGCGACTGTTTAGGCTTTAAATCATAAATTGCACTTATGGCCCTCTTCTGTAAAACAAATATAATTTTAGTGTCAGCTGCGTGTCCCCATAGCAAAATACCATACAACATTATGCTATGGAAATAGCTAAAGTAAACTAGTCTAGCTGTTTCAACACTAGTTAGACTTCTAATCTTTTTTACGGCATATGCTGCAGAACTACGTCTGCTTCCTAGTTTTGATATATGGGGGCTCCATTGAACATCCACGTCTAGTGTGATTCCAAGAAAAATGGTGGTATCTGCAAGACTCAGTTTCTCCCCATTTAAAATTACATAAGTATTTAATTGTTTGACATTTGGATACAAGAATTTCATACATTTCGTTTTAGTGCCATTTAGATGCAAATTATTAACATAGAACCAATTTACTACTTTAGATATAGCATTGACACTGAGATCGACAATCCGCCTGCCAGGCGTGATAATTATGGCAAGAAAGGGAGAGGCTTATTTATAGCAGTGCACTATTACGGGATGATGATTCCTTAATCATTACTTTACATTCAGTTAACTTGATTTTTAATTTTTTTTTCATAGAATAGGGCAACAAACAAGCACATAGTCCACCTGATGGTAAGTGGTTGCTGTGGCCCATAGACATCTACATCTATCCTCGTTTGTGAATCAAAATGCAGATGTGTTGTCACCCGTGAGGACTAAGATTGTATGCCTCTTTTCCAGTAAAATGGGTCTCCGATTCTCTACACTCACCATACGAAACACAGCAGTATTAAGCTGCTATTTTATGCTGGTATTCTGTGAGAGCGTGGTCTTTCCCCGGCTGAGCTGACCCATTCGTGCTACAACTATACTACTATAGCTGCAGCAAGACTCTACCACGTTTTAAGCCAAATCCAAATATTTGTAATTAGTAGTATGTTATGACTGTAGTCTGTTCAGGTCTATAGGTATTCTAACACATAAAATAATTAATGCTTTTTATATCTGATTGAAGCGATATACAAATAGAATAATAATAAATATTTTGTTTCGTACGAGGGATGAAGAAAGCCATGAAGGTTTTCAATTTTCAATGATAAAACAAGTAACAAGCTCAAAAAAAGGAAGAGGTTATCAGTCTAACAGTATGCTCTTTATATTGTTGCGTATCTCAGAAGGGGAAAACGGTTCACTCCATCATTTTTTTGCTTGGTACCCCTTCTCTCAAGAATAGATTGAGGTATTAGGTTAAATTTATGTCGAATACCCAAGATATTCAAAATTCTTAAGAAATATATATATACTGGGTGGCGCCCAGGTTATCACGTTAAATAGCACAACAGTTAATACAAGTTGATATATGTCTGTTAAAATAATAAAATAAACAATAATAAAAACTAATAAAAAATTCATCTTTCAAACAAAATAAATAGGGTAAAAAAGCACATAAAATAAATCATCCTTGATAATATTA